AAAAACGTATGATTTAAAAGAAAATAACAGTATAATAAAGTTTTTGTCCTTTCAAAACTCGACATGACCTTCCAAAAATCAATTTGGAAGGACATCTTGTCCTGCATATGTCTGGTCGTTATTTCGAGCCCTGGGCTGGTTCTACCCACAGCATAAATCCAAAGAATAAAATCCACACAAAATCTATGGAATGGCTGCCTCAACCATCATACAACCAGCCCTATATTGCAAGTTGTTGAGTTATGTTGATGACCTGATTACCTCTGAAGGAAGCTTTAATTTCTCTTTATCTTCTTCAGTATCACAGTATAATCCCATCAAAAATGGAACAGGGGCATCAAGGAAATGTTGTAAAGATGCTGGGAGGATAGGAACATAAACATGTTGCCAAACAAATGGAAATATCAGATTTGTTATACTTTCTGCAACCAACATAAATTTTTGGTAACCTGGAAAGAGAAAAAATTGCATCAATCTAATTTCATTTTAAGACTTAATAAACATATTTATATATTTGTATATCCATTCATTTAATCATTCATTCATTTTTTCATCCATTYATTTATTCTTCCATCCATTTCTATAKCCCATTCATTTATTCATTCATTCATTTTCAAGTGCAATTTCATACTTACTATTAGATAACAATAGGATCTGGTACTCCAGAAGAACACAAGTAAACAATTCCACAATATTTTCCACGCCAAGCAAGGAAAACATATCCTTCAATGAATAATCAAACAATGGCAGCTCATTTGGACCAGGTCGCTGACATGTTATATCATGAATAAAGCCTTTAAACCTCATAGTGCGACCAGGCGGTGGAAGTGGTACTTCATATAACAAGTTATAAATGTACGATTCAAGTGGAAGAGGCAAGACTTGTTCATTATTTGCAGCTTCGTAGAGTTGTTCTAGAAATTTCCCACAGGCCGACATAAATGGAAGGGGAGTAATGATAGACACACATTTTGAAACCATTAAAACATCATTCCTGAGATCAAACGAACACTTTTCGGATAATATTTGCTCATCAAATTCAGAACCAAGACAATTTTCAACAATTGTGCTATCTGAAGTGCTGACAGTGATRGGAGACCTTGCTCGTATTMKTGATTTTGACCTTGCAATGTTAAGCTCAGCCTCATGCATGTCATGCAGTGTCTGCATTGCRCTGCAGATTTGCTGGTTRGTKACCACCTCRTAGAATGAAAGGGCACAGCCGTATACTCTGGACCCATCTTCTCTTGTAATAAGGAAGGAATGTAAGGTAGGATCGTGGGGTTCTGACTGCTTCTTGAAGTGAAGACCTTGAGGAAAAGAGAGCTGCAAAGAAAATGAATAGAATTTTTTTTTCTCCTGTCAATCAAAACATCTTGACTGATTTTGATAAGCACCCTCAAAAACCAAATGACCTTCAAACATTAAAAAAAATCACAGCTCATTTGGTTTTGAGGGAAAAGTCTAGAAAGACAATTTGGTGAGGTTTGGGGCTTTGTTGGTATGATCAAAACCACCAAATGGCTTCTGTATTCTGTACATATACATCAAATTAAAGTATGTTGAAATATGTCTCTTATTGCTGAAGTATATAGTATTGTCAAATTCAGCCATATCTGAGAACAAGAAGTTACATGACCTACCAGTCTAACAGCATCTTCATCAAAGGGGTTCCACTCAACATTGGCTGGATAATGTGCTAGTACCTTTGCCTTATAAGACCGCTTCAGAGGAGAGATGTGAAGAGAATCGCCTGAGCACAACAAGGAAATGATATCAAAGTAAAGCTTGTCAAATCCTTCAAATAACATTGTTATATTGTGTGATGATTTTGTAGGAGTTGAGTAAATCAGTTTGAAGCTAATGAAAGATAAATTTTAATAAATGAGGTAAAATGTCTTAGATACAATCACTGATAAAGGGGAAACTATATTAGTCTTAATGCAAATTGATCTGGATTTAGGTTAATTCATCATTCAGTTCCAGAACAACAGGATATCGATATAATAACACTGTATTTGTACAAGAAGAGAAAAATGCTTGTTCAATCAACTGATTTCACATGACATGACATTACATTAAATTGCTTGTGGGAAAACATAATCTCTTTCATCATTTAAGTAGATAAAATTGGTATAATTTTAAAGATGTTGCCATTGCATATAAATATCCCAAATCTAGCCATCAAAGGAGAAAATTTAGTAGAAAAATCTTTGAATGAAACCTAGTGTTTTTTAATCAACACCGTATCATTTTGAGCTGAAACAGCAAATAAACTGATTCAAATCAAGCAAAAGGAAATACATTTCATGTTAATACAGTATAGAATGTCATATTATCGATATAATATCGAAAAATTACTACATAAATATCTAATTTGCTCAAAAAACATTAAATTCAAATCACTTTGATACCTGAAAGCTGGTCCGGTTCCAGTCCTGTAACAGTGTCCAACCCACATATTACGAAGTAATCTGCAAATCTTTGGTTTGAACTGGAACCAGACATGTTGTATTACACAAAAGGGGAGTAATTTGTGGTGCAAAACAGCGACAATTTGACAAACGACGAAGACATCTTTGCACTTCTTCGATGACAAATTTACAAAGATGGTAATCCTCGGACCCAGGAAAAACGGCCATCGTGGAACGCCTGGTGGTTTTTGCTATTAGTGAAAATGAAAAACGAGGAAATGGCATAAAAAAGAGATGGAAAGTTCAAAAATAAATAGAAATTACCGAAATGAGTAGGTGAAAAATAAAGAATGGAAGAAAGTTAGTAGTAAATAAAGAAACAAAAAGAAAAGTTGAACAAACAAAGAAACTTTTTTCAATTGTATCATTTCAGGAGCCCATTACTAATTAGTACTGGCCTCATGGCGATGTCTGATATTGACTATAGGCGGTCTGCTAATGTTAGTTGTTTTTATTTACTTATTTTTTTGTGAATAAAGGATCGCACTTAGTCAGTCTTCTAACCCTCGACCTGTTCGACATGGGTGACCCTACCAGGACGCCAGGAGTATAAAACTCCAGTTGACATATCTCTAGGGGTCGCGGAAGCACGCAAACTGCACTACCACGGTAAGGTAATGATCCCTTTGGGGCAGAACGCCTTCCATTCAACTGCTTCATTTTGAGYCCTTCYYAGGCCGGCGTTCGCCTCCTGATGACCAATCAAATCACCCTTATCATAAATTATCATAAATTAAGTTTCTCCCGAATTTAAATAAGTATAATGTTAATCTTAGGCACGAAAGTGCATATTCCCTGTCTGTAGGACCAACAGACTTAAGGATTCCTTTTATATAGCACTTGAACTTAACATATCTCAAGAATTTCCCTTCTTATACTAACAGCATTTGAAATATTTATTCTAGTAAATGAATGATCTTACTATTAATAAGCGAAGACCAGAAAACGGAAGGTCGTGGGTTTAGATTTTTTCTGAGCTCTTCGCGGCACTTATTAATGGTAAGATCATTTGCATTTACTACATTTATTACACCATCTCAGACCACATATATATACAGATATTTATTATATATAATCTTAAATTTTTTTCAATTTGTTATCTAGTTTTTAATTTGTTTTTAATTTTAATTTTGCTTTTTATTATTGCAAGTTCTTCTAAATTGATTCACATTAAATAGTGATTGTAAAGGTTAAAATTTCTTTATTCTTCAAATATAAAATGCGCTCTAAGAACACGGCTAGACGTGAGATCCTCACTTCCATCTCAAAACAGCGCGCGCTTGAAAGAGATTTCCGTAACAATACAAACAGTTATAATTACCCCATAATTACTAAACAACTAACGAATATTACATAGAACAACGTCTACTTAACACGTAATACGCCTTCGCCTTTCCTGTGGAAATATTTTAAAGCAAGCAAAATATTCTCCTTGCAATACATAGTCGAAATGACAAGCGATTGATAGCCTTTAGTTAACACTGTAGAACTGAAATTTGATTAAAATATATATATATTTCATGCATGAAATTTAAAGGAAACTTATTGAACGCCTTTGGTTGACAACCACTTGTCTGTTAACTAGCCAATAAGATTGATTGAATTGATGTGCTACGATGCGTTTTACAGTTAACTATCAATCAATATCCAATAAATCGGACATTTAGCTCAAATATTTGCCTAGTTATTTAGCAATTATCTTTATGATTCCAATTTGACTCAACACAAAAAAGCTAAAATTTCAAAAAGGAAACAAGTATAGAATATCAATCAAACAATGTGTATATGAATAAGAATGAGTATATATAAATAAGACTTTCAATGAAACCATCACAACTCGAACTGCTCGCATAAAGTGTCTAATTATGGGCCTCAAAACTTTCTCTGTTGTCACTTTAGTGGTTTTTTGTTTCAGTGYAACTGTTTTTCCAACAATTGGTTTTCCAAAATGTGGCCCCGGTGGATGTCATGTTATTGGTGATTCCACAGACCAAGCTGATGCATTATTCGTCCCAAATACGGAAAACTGGTCGTATCAACAGCGTACCGCGGAAAACTCCGAAGATAAAAAAAAAGAAAAGGGAAAATGCTGTTATACCATGGGCGATTCACCCAATGATCGTGAAAACTCCAGAACTCTTTATACGTTTAAAAGAGGTAAGTCGAATTTCTTTTCACTTAATGTATTACTCCGAGGATAATGAACGCTCTGGTCGTGATTGGAAGGCTAATCTTTATTATACTCCACATATACTAGTACCTCCATTATCTGAGCCAAGGCTAGTGTGAAGAGGAAATGATGATGATGAATTTTCCAGAAATATTCAATATTTCATTTGACACTCGCTAGTTTCAAGACAGTAAAGATTGCATTCGCTCTATATCTAAGGGAAAGCATGCAAGACCTTGTTTTATAGGTGCGGTTATTGGTTTTATAGTGATGAACATGGAATATTCATTTTCAGGAAAGATAGCAAGAAGGCTGTTTAAAAGAAAGTAAAAACTTTGATGGCGTTCACCATCAGAAGCCGCGGAAAGATGATCTTGCAGATTGAAAACAACACCCAAAAAGTATCAATAGTTATTAAGATTGTAAATCAAAAGTTCATTGTTAATATATATAGTTATTCAATAAAGTGTGCTTTGTATATTGTAAAAGCTGTAAACTTTTTTGACTTTTAATTACACCACAACCAAAGAAAATTACAAGAAAACGTTTACATAACATACGTCTCATCAATAACTAAGAACAACATCCCTAAGAACAAAATAGTCACCCACCAAGAGCTGTAAACTTTCATTCATGTAATTTGGACGTCATTATGACTTTGTTGTTTTGCGCAAATTGAAAGAACTCACAGTTTCGGGGAAGTTTTCAAAAAATAAATGATTATATGCCCTGATCAGTTGTGACTGTTCCTAATAAATACTAATCATTCCAGTAAATAATACAATGAATTTAGCAACGTCTCCTGAAATGGTAGTAAGCTCTAAACAAACAGTTAAAAGCAAGCAGTGTTCTTTTGATAATAGATATGAAGTGCTTTCGAGTKACAGTCGAACTGATAMGTACGTTGTGGAATTGAATGGTTGCATGATGAGATMTTAACCAGTTAAATTGAATGAAAGCCCTTTGATTGGCAGTCTGTTCACCAGCCAATCAGAATTGCAGTTCTCCTTTGCCTTTTGGAAATTGAAAAATGTACACACCCACGATAGTAATTAATATCAGGTAACTACTAAGATAGTCTCCTCGCAGCCGTTCTTAGAGCCCGCCACTAAGAACGGCTGCGAGGAGACTACTACTAAGAGGACAGACATTTGAAACAAATATTTGAATGGTTAAGAATCAAATTTCCTTCGCCCGCAATGCATGTATGGATGGGGTTGCCTAGAAACCATCACAGTTCTGCATATAGCAACATTGTGTATTACAAATATTTATCATATATAATTATTTATGAAATACCTATRTTTCTCCATTTGGTAAAGCTGTTCGCTAGTGAAAATAACACATTCGAGGTTTCTCTGTATGGTTGAAGTAAAAAAAAGGTATTTTACCGACATAATTTGCTTTCATRTRCAATTATATGATAAACAGAATATTACATGGTCGCGTGCCCATATATGCTGTCACATCTGTGCTGATTTCAATTCCAGTTTAAACTGTTTCCTCAGCAAATGGCTTTCCCAATTCCGGCGTTTGGTGTTACACCTTTGATAATTCCGCACAGGATAATGCATCGTCAGAACGAAGGGGTGAAACGTAGCCGTCTCAAGTGCGCCAGTCAATCGACGAAGACGCGAAAACTGAGAAATATGTTGGATGCAATACTTTTGGTGATTCACCGTCAGAATGAAGTCGTAAAAATCTCAGGTCACGACAAGAGATCGGACAAAGAACGATTCAGAAAGATTACATGTACTCAGCTGAGAAAGATTTCGCAATGATATGAATTTTTGTTAACATTGCTAGTCATGATCACATGACAAAGTTTTACTATCTATTGTACAAAAACCACTAAAAGTGTAAGGTTAGCTTGGTAAATAAATAATCAAAAACAATGATATGCCCAGTTTAACACTATTTTTATTTTTATTACAATATTCACATTGCAGTTATAATATTTTTACCCTATCCRGCATGAATTTAATTTATACATTTCTAGGTGCATTTTATAGAAATATATGAGTCGATTTTATACATTTTGRAATATGGTGGGAACTAGCGGTAAACTAGTGTGAGCTGCGTCGGTGTTTCTAAAGAAACAGTTGTGTAAAAAGATAAATTTAACACCGTAAAAAAAGTATGTGAAATAACTTACAGACGTTTCGGACGTTAATCCTTCGTCGGAGTAAAGAATATATGCATTGTTGGATTGCCACGCCCACGAATGTGAGAAACGGTAGCTACACTTACGAGAGGTAATATAACGCATCTTGTCTATCCAAGCAATTACCTTTAAAACGAAAACGTTTAACTGTTATACTAGACACAGTCGCAGAATATCGAAATGATATCCGTAAGAAGTTACCGCACACAGCATGGTGAAACGTCATTTTTCATTCGTCACGTTTGATTGAGATCTTCATCAGGATTTTGCAACCAATTTMAAATTCTCTGGATACAGGGCGCCAAGCTTTTGAACAGCTGTTTTCGTTCTTTTTGAGTAATTAATTGGAACGGCAAAAAATAGTCTCTCTTATGGAAAGAATTCTTCGAAATGCGACGCGGAAGTGTCGTATTCGTACCGTGTATAGAATGAAATTCATTGATGAGTTTGTGAAAACRAGCGTACGAATCCATGACAGGCCAACATCATCACTACAWATTACTTTAAGATTAGGATRTGCAAGATAAAAAGCAATATGCGGTACATAGCAAATTGTGAATAAAACTATAACAATCGCTACAGTTGCAGATACGCGCCTTTCCATGAGTTTCTCKCGCGCAGATAAASTAGACGACATCGCAGTTGTTGGTTGTATCGTCTTGGGGGAGTAGATCTTGTGAAGAATTGTCACGTAGGAGCAAATCATAATAGCAAAGTTTAAAATTACAACTATTTCGGAAACTACCACAAATATTTTGAAAAAAARGATCAACAAGATG